GAATGTACCATCATATGCATTGCATTGCATTCATGTATTTGTATTTATACTGGTGTTTAGCTGCTCAGTTCCATATGTTGCTGTATATTCGGATTGTAGCTTACTTTGTGTATTTACTCGATTTTCTTATCTTCGGACTGTAGTTACTTTTATTACTCACTGGGTCGGAGTACTCACTTTACTCCCTGCACCTTGTGTGCAGATAAAGGGCAGTCTCAGGCTCAGTAGATCCAGTTGATCAGCAGATCCAGCCTCTGGAGTATCGAGGTAGCTGCACGGCGTTCGCAGCCATTGATCTTCTCCCTCCTAACCTATCTCTTTATTTCCGCATTATCGGACTTTGGATACCGTTTATTAAGATGATATTCTGTATTCTAGAGGCTCAGATTCGTGACACCGGGTCCTAGTGAGATTATATTGGGTATTTTGTTAAAATCATCAGTACTTTAATCTTGCTTAATTGATATTTCTTTCCGCTATTTTTGATAAAATGGGTTAAGTGTTGAATAATAGTCGGGCTTGCTTAGTAGTGTGATGGGCGCCATCACGGCCGGGATTTGGGTCGTGACATACATACTATGAAATATCAAGTGAACTACTTCTTATACATCAAATTAAACACAAAGAAACAGGGGAAATTCAGAAATCCATTCCAACAACTCTTTACTTCCTTTCTATTAAATTTGAGAGCTTTAGAACATGTACATGGATAATGAAAATACAAGAAGATGAAGGAGCAGTCAGCAACAGTAATAACACAACAACGCAGTGACAGAACAACCCAGTGACAGATCAAAAGGGAAGGAACCAGCAAAGTAACCCAATGAAAACAGTAACAGAACTAGTTCTGATATTCAGCAGTAAAAGAAAAGACTCACTTTTCAGTTTCTTAGCTCTCCAAACACTGAACCTTTTAGGATTAAAAACCAGCCTGTCTTTTACTCTCAAATTACTGAACTTTTAAATGTTAAAAATCCAGCCTAAACTCTCTGGAAAAAAGACTGAAATTGAACTCCTCTTTTTTCTTCCAAAAACCAGCCCCTTTTCTTTCTTGAAATGACCCTATTTATAACCCAAAAACATGTTTGGGCAACATATTTTAATCAATCCTTTTTAAGCTTTTCATACCATTATGTTTTGTTCCCCACACTTGCATGCCTTGTTCCCCACACTTGCATGTCTTGTTCCCCACTAGCAGATGTCTTGTCCCCCACTATGTATTAAACAATGTCTTATTTTAATATTATTAGTCCTTAGTGGACAGAGAACTCAAATTAATCATTTTTAAAACTTTAAATCTCAAAATACCCCTGAAACTATTGAAATTACCATTCTACCCCATCAGCTATATCCAATCCTCCTAATCAATTAACCAAACTATAGCAGCTATAACTAATCTTAATTGAGAAATCCTAACAATTGACTAATTAAACACATGAAACTAACTCCCAATCAACAACATTAGGACAATTCAACAAGGCCAGATTCATATCAGAACAAACTTAACAGAACAAACAAGTATATCCAAATCACTAAACACAATCATCAATTGAACTCAAAACAGTAGGAAAGTCGTCAAAACGCATACACATATAATTTCAACGAATATGCAGTAGGATACTTCATGCGAAAACTTTATCAAAATGAACCCACATTAAAACGAAACCACAAATAGATCTGTGAATAGCAAAGATTCGAGGTAAGAGATATGACCTTTACTACTGCACTTTCTTGCTCCGTTACGCATAGTGAAAACAAAACTCCAAAGAATAAACAAAAAATACTTGAACGAGCTGTGGCTGACCTTTATGCTAACGATCCGACTTCGAACAATGCTGAACTTCCGATGAAACACAACTTCGTTCACAACACTGTTTCGACGCTTGACTAACAAACACGGACTCAGACGGAACCTCGACGAACTGCCTCAACGTACGACTGAGCCCGACCTCGGATGGTTGGTCTCGTTTTGGACTGGAGGGTGGTTGGAGAAAGTGAGGCAGGCTGTTTCAGGTGGTCAAACGAGCTGATGGATAAGGCTGGCCAATGGTCATCGGTAGTAAGGCTGGCGTGAAGGGAGGTGGTTGTGGTGGGCATGAGGCGGTCTGTCGACGAGTGATGGAGTCACCGGTGGTCATTGGACGTTGATGGAGTAGGTTGTGGGGTGGTCGTTGGTTCGAAGAAGAAGAAGAAGAAGGAGGGAAGCCATGGAGGTCGAGGGAGCTTGGAGATGGCAGTGGGGGGGTGGTTGGTTCGAAGAAGAAGAAGAAGAAGAAGAAGGGCAGCCATGGATGTCGAGGGAGCTTTGGAGATGGCAGTGGGGGGGTCGTTGGTTCGAAGAAGAAGAAGGAGGGGGCGGGTGGTTTAGGGTTTTTGGATTGGAAATGAAAATGAAAA